AATCGCTAAAAGTGGTCACTACGGCCAGACCCAAAACGATCTGGATATATGAAGTATATCACTCGACTACCTATTGAGTGTACTTTCATTCTATAACAATAATTCCAAAGTGCCCGCTATCCCACAAATGGGCATCATCTTTTGTTGCAAAATATTTGTTAACATAATGACAGAGAAGCCAAATCACAGGCCAAAAAAATAGTAGCAATTTCGAGCACGTTTAAATAATTTCAATGTTATTATTTAAAATATTAATTATATTCTATGACAAATATTTATCCTTAAAAGGGAATATTTTATAAGACAAATGGCCTAGACCATTCTAATTAGTATGGACATGTTCAGTACGGTTTATAGATTAATTTACCGTCGAGAGAATCGGCGAATGGCCAGAAATGACCGAATTGTGGATAAAATTCGGAATAAATACATAGCATCTAATGCAGAGACTTGTGTTGAATGGCCTGTGATGTGTGAATCACCATTCATAACAACTTTTCAATATCTTTAACATTCAATTGAATTCTATGTATTTATCTCGAATTATATTCATAATTCTGTCATTTCTGGCCATTCGCTGATTATCTCGACGGAAAATGAATCTATAAACCGTACTAAACATGTCCATACCAACTAGAATGGTCTAGGCCATTTGTCTTATAAAATATTCCCTTTGTAGTGAAAATAGTAGTGGTTTCGAGCTTGTGTAAATAATTTAAAGTTGATTAATTAAAATAATTATATAATTCTATAACAATTATTTGTCCTTAGTCAAAATAGTAGTGGTTTTGAGCACGTGCAAATAATTTGAAGTTGATTAATTAAAATAATTATATAATTCTATAACAATTATTTGGTCTTAGTGAAAATAGTAGTGATTTTGAGCAGGTGCAAATAATTTAAAGGTAATTAGATAAAATAATTATATAATGCTGACAATTATTTGTCCTTAGTGAAAATAGTAGTGGTTTCGAGCAGGTGCAAATAATTTAAAAGTTATTAATTAAAATATTTATTATATTCTATAACAATTATTTGGTCTTAGTGAAAATAATAGTAGTTTCGAGCAGGTGCAAATAATTTGAAGGTAATTAGATAAAATAATTATATAATGCTATGACAATTATTTGTCATTAGTGAAAATAGTAGTGATTTTGAGCAGGTGCAAATAATTTAAAAGTTATTAATTAAAATATTTATTATATTTTATAACAATTATTTGTCTCTAGTGAAAATAGTAGTTGTTTCGAGCACGTGCAAATAATTTGAAGGTAATTAGATAAAATAATTATATAATGCTATGACAATTATTTGTCCTTAGTGAAAATAGTAGTGGTTTCGAGCAGGTGCAAATAATTTAAAAGTTATTAATTAAAATATTTATTATATTCTATAACAATTATTTGTCTTTAGTGAAAATAGTAGTGGTTTCGAGCACGTGCAAATAATTTGAAGGTTATTAATTAAAATAATTATATAATTCTATGACAATTATTTGGTCTTAATGAAAATAGTAGTGATTTCGAGCACGTGCAAATAATATAAAGGTTATTAATTAAAATAAACTGATTTAATATGTTTGGTATAGAAATTCACACAATAGTAGGGTTTTTAAACCGAAATTTTATATTATTATTTTTGATGATATTTTAAATAACATAAATATTAATTTATGGTAGTAATTATTTATTTGAAAACTTGTTTTGAAAACATATTTCAATTAAAAATATTAGTGTTACACTCATTATATTGACGATAAACGCGATTTTTTACGGTATAAGTAAATAATTATTTAATTTTTCAAATAAAATTAATTTATATACTAAACAGACTTAAATATAACAGTAATGTATTTACTAAATATGCAATTAATTATAGTTAATTATTTTTAAATTACAATTCAGCTATGAATTCAGTGATACAATGTCCATTTAATAAACAAATTCATTTATTTCATTAACAAATTTTATTTTTAAAAATGATAACAATTAAAATATTATGTGAATGCAATAATAGATAAAATTAAAAGATACATGCCATGGTAATTAAAGTGCATAAACCTAAATGAATTATCATTAATGAACTAGTGATTGAAATTTTGGTACCAATCCCTGGGCACCGAAACCGCTCAGACTTTGGGCAAATCTAATGTGCGCGCACACGACGAATTCAAACTACCTGCGTTTACAATATGCAGCCACTACTACAATGGCATAACGCGGGGTAAATTGAATTCATCGCACGAAACAACATCCATATGTTTTGAATCATAATTTAATAAGCCCGGTCATCATAGTTTTTATCGTTGGGTCGACAGTAAAGCGTTGACCAGGGCAATTAGAGTGACATACAAAAATGTGTGCATGATCATTTATCGACCGGCAATTATTCAGTGCCGTGGAATTATCTCTTCTACGATCGCAATCTAAACATTCATTTTGATGACAATTGCCCACATGAACGGCGGCCAAACTGTAGCATGTACGATTGTAAATTTTGCATGTAAAACATGGTCGCCCATAAAGATTTTTCCATAATAAAAGTGTAGCACACTTTGTGGATTGTCTTTATGGCAATGGTGTCGCTACAAAACCAACCAATGATATGTGATTATTTGATTGTAATTTACAAACTATATGAATATAATAAAACTTTTTATAGAGGGCTCCAACAAAATCATAATTTTAAAAATTATTTATAGTGCTCAATAAAAATAGAGAATTTATAATTTACATTTTTGGTGATAGATATTGATGTCATGTTTCTATGACTTAACGCAAGTAATTTGAATTCATCGTCTGATTTAAACCTTAAGGTTGTTGTGGTTTCGTATGAGAAGTATATTAAACTGATTTCATACGTTTGGTATAGAAATCCACTCAATGTTAATATTTTTAAATGAATATTTTTGTTCATATTTTAAGTAGCATAAATGTTATATATTATAAAAAGTATTTGACATTTTATAAGAACGTTTACAATAGATTAATTTATAAAAATAATAATGTTTATAAAGTTGTATACTTGTTTTGAAAACACATTTCAATTAATAATATTATTGTTACACCCATTATATTGACAATAAGGGCGATTTAATTACAAATAGATTACAATTATACTGTTCAAATCATACTACTATACAATTAAACACCACTTTCAACAGTAGGTGTAGTTTGTATTGAATGAGTTATGATTAACATAACTCATAAATTTATTATTATTATAACTATTATTATTATAACTTATAAATATAAATATTATTATAACTTATTAACGGGGGAGCGGGGGGAGCTGGCTAGTATAAATATAAATTGAATTTTTAGACTAAACAGAAGTCTTGTTTTAATTGACTAGAAATGTATTTATGCAATGTAAATAACGCAAAATACAATTAATTAAAATCAATATAAAATAAATCAATAATTAAAATGCAATAATTTAAATTTTCGAGTAGTCGGGAAGACTATACTTTGCCCTTTTTTAGTTTTATTAATTTTAATATAAAAAAGTTAAAATTAAAAAATTATTGAAAATTTCATTGAAAAACTAGTTATGTCCAATTAATACAAACCTAATTTTTATATTCACACATTATTTATAACCAAAATGACTTATTTCCAACCCCTAGTATATGCAGACATTATTATTGAACAGTCCATATAATAGTTAGTGCAGTTAAAGCATGAAAAACTTATTATTATCGAAAAAATAATCTTGCTATAATTAAGTATTATAATCTATAAAATATTATTCCATTGTTTGTCTGTAATTAATATAGCTTACATTAAATGGAAGTTTTTAAATGATTTTTATGGTTTATCAACACAAGTTTATAAATTAAATCCTGTTAAAGCAAATCTGCTATATTTACTTTTTAAGTGCATTAAGTTAAAGTTAAACTTAAAGTACTTTTATATTTTATTTAAAAAACAAAATACAATAGATTAAATTACAACAAGTGTGAATTATCAGTTAAAGTCCCATGGTACATTAAAAAGCATTTAAGAAATTAGTATATAAAGCTAATGATTAAATATAATTACAATTAGCAGTGTTTTTACTAATTAATTGTTAAATACATTTAAATACAGTATATATTACACAGTATTTTGTATTTAAAACAATGAAATTAACGGTTATTTTGTCACTAATTTGTGTGGCATTTGCGGCACAAAACAAAAGTGTCTCACAATATGCGGCAGATCTCGGTATCAATACATTTGACTACGAGTTTAGTAGCTTTAAGGTAAAAATTATAGTCCGGATTAAATGTTAAAAATATTAATAATTAGTACTTATTTAATAACATTATTAAAACCCTATTTTATTTGCAGATAAATCACAGCAAACAGTACTCGACAGCCGAAGAGGAAGAGCAGAGAAAAGTGAATTTTTTGCAAACATTACAAACAATTGCAAAACACAATGAATTGTTTAACAGTGGACTCGAGTCCTATGAAATGGGTGTCAATCAGTTTGCAGACTTGGTATGCATTTTAATATTTAATTTCTATATTTAATTTTAAATAAAATTGTAATTAAATGATTGCATTCAATAGACTGACGCCGAATACAAGTCCATGTTCTCAATGCCCGACCCAACGGTGCAAAAGCCAGCGCTGGCCGAGCCATACATCGCCGACCCGGAGTCCCTCTCATCGGTTCCCAAGAGTTTTGATTGGAGACAATCGGGAAAAGTGACTCCCGTTAGGAACCAAGGTTCTTGTGGCTCGTAAGTTTAACATATTTATTTCTAATAGTTGTGTTTAATAAATAATTTACATGCTAGATGTAGTTTTATCAATATAATATTGGCAATATTAATACAAAACTAACTTTATATTAAATATAGTATTTTATATCTAATTATGCTTATAATATACAGCTAATAATTTGTTAGCATTAAACATAATCAACTTAACCATGTCACATTACCACTAGATGCTGGGCATTCAGTGTTATCGCGGCCATAGAATCTGCCTACGCTATCAAGAAAAACAAACCTGGTATAAACTTGTCTGAGGAGCAACTGGTCGACTGTATGAACAGCAAATGTGGCGGACAATTGATAACCAAAGGGTTTGATTACGTGAAAGCGCACGGAGTCGAGAATGAGGGCCAATACCCATACAAAGCCGGCTCCGGACACTACGGCAAGTGCACGGAAAAAGCATCGGCCCCTCACACACACATCAAGGGCTACAAGGGTTTGGGTCACGCCTCGGGTCCCAATTTGGCCACCGATGGCCAGATAATGGCCGCCATTCAGGCCAACGGTCCGCTGTCTATGCAGTTCAACGCCGCCGGCAATGACTTTCGTAACTATAAGTCCGGCGTTATTACCAGTAATGACATGAGTTGGTCGGCCGCACACGCGGTGCTGCTCATTGGTTGGGGCACTGAAGGCGGGCACGACTATTGGCTGTTTAAAAATAGTTGGGGCACCGCGTGGGGCGCCAAGGGCTATTTCAAAATGGCCCGTGGTCATAATTTGAGACACATTAATGAGTTTTTGTATATCCCGACGCTATAAATGTTTAAAAATTAATTTGTTTTTTAATTGCATTTTTGATTTTCTGGATTAAATATTGCAATTAAAATATATTTTAACAAATGATACTTTGTGGTAAAATAAAAATAAATGGTATTGATTGTTTCTACGTGCAATCTAATTAAAATTAAATTTACAATTTATTTAAATAAATATTACTTTTCATATAAATTAAAACAATACTATGTAACATGTTTATTTTGTATTTCTGTTTAGTTTTAATTAACTTATAAACATGGTCCAACAAATTGTATAGCCATCTAATCTTATACAGATGTTACCTAAATGCAATTAAACATCAAAATAATATAATTTAATATTATATTGTTAAAGTGCCTTGATAAACCCATTGTCGAGCTAATGTATTATTTTTATAATCATCTTGGCAAATTACGTAATTTAGTGGAAATGTGTCATCTTAAACGCTTTCATACTATACACACATAAATGCAATCATCTTGATCTTGATTTATTAAGCATTTATCTATGTTGTGTACGCAACGATTATCTATCCCATGAATGCAAAGTACTCCCGTTAAAACATTTTTAATGAAATTTCACATGATAATCAGTTAAGTAGGGATACCATGATGGCAATAAGATAAATTGATCGTATTGTTTGACAATATTTTCACAATGGTCAACCGAATCAGATAAAATCTACTCTACAGGAACCAATAGCTCGCAATCATCAATATTTATGCGTATTAAGTTCCATAATAAATCATTGATTCACAATGGTAAGCTAAACCTTCGGGCACATTACCGTCGGCATAGAATCAGGGATTATGATGAAAAGGGGCCATAACGCTGAGTGGTAATACCGGGTGCCACCGACCACTGAGAAAATATGGTCCAGCAAATCACCTTATTGTTAATCGATGGGATATTGTAATCGCAGGTAGATTGAATTCATCGTGTAATTCAAACATGGTCATTGTTGTTTCGTGTGAGAAATATATTAAACTGATTTCATATGTTTGGTAAAGAAATCCAAATAATAGTAATGTCGTTATAATTAAATAAGTATTCACTTTTTTGACTACTTGTTAAATGATTGAATGAAATATTAACCCTTAAAGCTTAAACTATAATTATAAACGTTGTAAATAAACTGGGAAACTAATCTCCCAGCAGTTAGTGCATAAACTGGGAGATTAATCTCCCACGCTTTAGTGCTGTTTATGCT